TATATGAATTTTGATATTTTAAAATTGTTTTAATTAACTCAACATTTCTTCACAGCAGGGTGGACATCTTAAGCTAAGTACTGAGACAATGTGAGTGAAATTAACTTACATAGTTACTGAACATGCAGCAGGCGTCCTCAGTCCACTGAAGATAATCCATATAAAGGTTGTGATGTTATTGATGTTAAAGGTCACTTTCTTAAAGAGGCATTTATCTCATGAAGACAGGATGGACAACAATTTTTGGACATGTTTCAATTCATATACATATGTATAAACTTCTTTAAAAATGTAAGTTATTTAAGTATTTGAAATCATTCATGAGTCATTCAGCAATGCAGCACCTTGGACAATACAAAATCCCCATTGATCTCAATGTTAATGAAAATGATATAAAATGTACAAAATGTATTTTAAAATGAAGGTTAGTATTTCCTTATATTAATAAGGTGTTCATTAAGAGCAAAACTTGGAAAATTACTTGTTTCACAATGTTTGTATCAAAGTTACCCTTCTATACTGGGAACACCAAAGGCACACAATATTAATAATGACCCTGCTATGGAGCTTTTGTGCAAAACCATAGTTTGTAAATGTTTAATCATTTTCATATAGAAACATTTACTCACTTTCTCCACACAGAACAACATAAAATATTTTAACACTGTTGTCATATTTTTGAGCACTTCTGAACTCCAGCTAGGGGACTTTCATTCAGCCAGTAGGTTGATCAGCTTGCCAACCAATCAGCACTCAGTAGTAGTAATGCTAGCACATTAGGAGCTACTTCCCTGAACCTTTTCGCTGTAGAAAAACAGAAAGATACTGGTATATTTTCTTTGATGTTTTAATGGAATACATCCTTCTACTTTCCAAAATTGAAAAAAAGTTCCTGAGTAAATGGCTAGGAACATGTTTTACAGAACGTTTGAATGTTTTGCTGAAAATGTTTAACACTTCTAATGTTTTGCAGAACATGTTTAACACTTCAAATGTTTTACAGAACATGTTTAACACTTCAAATGTTTTACAGAACATGTTTAACACTTCAAATGTTTTGCTGAAGATGTTTAACACTTCTAATGTTTTGCAGAACATGTTTAACACTTCTAATGTTTTACAGAACATGTTTAACACTTCCAATGTTTTGCAGAACATGTTTAACACTTCGAATGTTTTGCTGAAAATGTTTAACACTTCCAATGTTTTACAGAACATGTTTAACACTTCTAATGTTTTGCAGAACATGTTTAACACTTCTCATGTTTTACAGAACATGTTTAACACTTCTAATGTTTTGCTGAAAATGTTTAACACTTCTAATGTTTTCCAGATCATGTTTCACACTTCAAATGTTTTGCAGTTTTTTTATATAGCAAATGAGAGAAATAAGATGCAGCCAGTCTCCCTTAAAACAGGCTCTGAGATTCAGCTCAGTTTCAAAGCTAGTAACAGGCAGACTTATGTTGGTTCTAAGGTAAGATAAACATTATCTGAGTTAATGTATTTGCTAAATGCTAGCATTTAATATGATGTCTAAGAATAAATAATGCCACATACCAATGTCAAGATCTGTTAGCTAGCTAGCTTGTTAACTAGCATTATGTGAGCATTATGTTAGTGGTTTGTATCTTAGCTGCTAACAATTAGCTTGATAAATTGTTCAGATTAAAGACTGTAAAGCGATTACAGTGTGATTGAAGGCGTTCTATGTAAAGATATATAATAGAAATAATAATGTACATGTAAACGTGCCCTCGTTTGTATTGTTTGTATAAAAGACTATGAGTCCATTTAGGTATATAGCCACATATGCTCTACTGATTTACTCCAGTGTTAGGTTTAGCATTAGTTCATCTGAATGGGGCATCGTCTTAGCTCTCTGTGCTTCTAAATGCTACAGACGCTGCCAGGTGGAATAACCTGAAAATAGGGATGCCCCACTCATGAATTGTTATGGCTGATTCAGTTCCTTTAACTTTTAATCTGAAGCTTGAACTTTGTGGGGTAAATGCACACATTAAACACTCCAGCACATTTTCAGTACTTTTAATTAGCCAAACTTGTAATATAAACAACACTATTTGCTGGTATTTATTGAAAGTAAGAGCCAACTGGCTATTTAGTCATGCAAAATTATGCTATGACATTTTGGTGCAAGTGTTGCAGCAGCATTGAAACACACTGCGTGTGCACTTACCTGGCTTGCATTAGTTACATTATAAAACTCCAGCTCAAATCTGCCGAAATAAAAACAATAAATTGGCCCATTGCTGATTTAGTTTTTCAAGCAAAATCTTGGCTGATTCCAAGACATCCCCAGCTGAGGCTTTGACAGACCTAACAACATTTACCAAGGGAAAACATGTAAATTACATAACTTAAATAGTAGCTACCAAATAACTCCTAGTAACTTTAATCCATAAGAATAGTCACTGAAGAATATGCTTGTAGTTTAAAGGGTCAAAAAGGATAGCTAGAAACACTTTGGCCAAAATATTACCAGCTGTGGACTCCCCTTTATCTTTACCCTTTAGGAACATGCTTGCTTACCTCCCCTGTAGTCCATGACAGTGATCCCGGCTATCCCCTGAGCCCTGCCCCCTGTCGGCCACCCAAACAACAACATAAACAAACATTTATCTGTGTTGTTGGCTGCATGCTGAAGGGGACTGGTCCACTTCCCTGTGATGACGTGACTCAGCGCTGGACGCTGCAGCTCCCTTGAGCGTCACACATGAGCGTGAGTACTGTGGCCACTTTAAACTCACTTTTCCAGGGCATCACCATCACCACTGGCATGGAACCCCATAAAAGAGCAGCCTGGCCCATAATAACAGTAATAAATATAGTTTTCTTAATAGAGACCCAAGAATATTTTAGAATGCAAAAATAAAAAATAATAAAAAAAAGCATCTGGGAATGAAAACACATGACTGTACCATGGCAAGAGAGGAAAGAGAGAGATATAAAATATATGAGAGACTATAAAAGTAATAGAATTATTAAATTGCTAACCACCAGAATCAGTTCACTTGCTGCACTGAATACTAATCTGTTGCTCATCAGCTGTAATTCTTTCACCATACTTCAAACATTAATAGCTATTAAAGAACATTGTGAATGACTGTCATTACAAATGCAAAATAATCAATAATTTCTCATTTGCACAAATGTCGTTACTTTGCGTGTGTACTAATGCACGGATTAGTCACTGATATAAGCCAGAATAGAAACCAGTTTCATGGTTCAATTCGTGACCCACAAGTCAAGACAGATTAGACTTGATTGGGTTGTTGGTGCCATATGTGACCTACAATCTGTGCTCCGCTTGCATTAGTAGACAGGAGGGTCGCTGATCTCCCTGGGCAAAGGTTTCCATGGGAACGACCCCCGGATCCTCTAGTCTGCTGTTTTTCAGTCCTCACTCATCTTGAGGCTGAATTATCCTAGATTCCTTTATGTCAGTTCCATATTCTTCTGCTCTATTTCCCCCCTCTCTCTATCTCTCCCTCTCTCCCTCTCTCTCTCCCTCTCCCTCTTTCTCCCACTCTCTCTCACTCTCTCTGCCTAGTTTGTCCCTGGTTTGCAGCCACCTCTTGCTCATAGCTTTTCTCTGATGCCTTGGCGTGGTGTATATTCTTGATCTACTTTTACAATGAGTCATCGTGATTTTTGCTCCCAATTTCACACCAGGCTCAGCCACACAGAGCCACATAAATACTTTTCTGCGAGGAAAAAAAAAAAACAATGTGTCTTAGCTGAGAAAACGACATTTGTGCATTGCTTTTTTGTTGTTTTGTTTGTTTCGTGTTTTGTTTCTGTTTCATAACAGCCTGAAGTATGACTCATATTCTAAAGCAGAGAATTGGCCCATGCAAATCTGTTACTGTGGAGTGAGATTCCCATCATATCCATAACCCACGTTTAGAAAAGGCTTTATGTTTCATGACTTTTTTAGGCCCCAACAGTGGCTAGCATATCCAGAGGCTGGCTATGAAATAAAAGACTCAGACTGAGTAAATGTTTTTGGCCTCTGGCTGCTGGCAACACACTCATCTGAACCGACCAATCCAAGTACTGTGGGTTTTTGTGGCCGACTGTGCCATGTAGAAGTTCTCACGTAGGGGTCACTGCGTACACAGATGCAAAGAAGCAAGCCAATTTTCTTTCACTGGCCGCCTTGCGTGATCTGTCATCCGTAATGCGCACGGTGATGAGATTAGAAGATTAGATATGATGAGATTAAATGATGACTTGATAGAAGTTCATGCAACACCAGTTTATTAGTGACCCACTGATCCTCCAGTCCTTTCTCCAGACTCACCGAGAGTGTGTTATCCTACCTCCAGGTGGCGCTGTTGGTGCAAGATGGTATTTACTGAAACGGGCACAATAGAAGCTTACTCAGTAACCCATGTGCGTGTAACCTGGAATGAAGATCTGCTCCGATATTTACTGATTTTACTCATCTAAATTTTTAATGGACTGGCTCAGTTGCCTCTAGAGATTATTTTTGGACTTGGCTGACACTGCAGTGTTGTTAAAGTATAGTATTGAATGAGTATTAGTGATATATTGCAAGAGAGGATGTTCATGTTAAAAATAAATAATTTTTTAATGATAAAAAAATAAGAATAGAGAAAAATCTGACTATATCTATAATGTATTAAATAAAAATAAAACGTAATATTAAATGAACATTTACATTGCTGACAGACTGCAACAGATTTTTAATGAATCTTTATTTTTTGCAAATTTGGGAAAAAATCGTAACAAATCTACAACAAAAAACGCGACTATTCATTATTATTATTATTATTATTATTATTATTATTATTATTATTATTATTATTAAATAAATGGTTCCGTCGATTCAGTGTGCTGTCCATCGCCGTGCAGACTGGGGTAGCACATCACCCGCCCCCCCTTGTCTGTGTTTTATTGGTTTCGCCCAAACTTGGCGTAGTTGTGTGCTCTTCCTACCCAATGGGGCTCAGTGGATTGGTCGCGGACACAGGGCTGTTACAGATGGGCCAGCGGATTCATTTACAATGAATATACCGGCTCTTTATAGTCAAACGGCCACTTTTACGGCAGTTATGCATATTTTTCGTTTATTATGGATAATGCCGTCTGTGTGGGCTGTAGAAGGTAAGGAACGCATGTGTCTCTGTCAGCACGCGTGGCTGGAAATGTGTGTCAGCGCGAACTTGTGTGAGATGGGAGTCCACCGTTGTCTTTCAGCAGTGGCTGTCTGAATTTTACAGACATGCTTTAAGGGGGAGCAGCAAGCTGGTGGGCTTTTCCACAACGCTGGACGCTTTGTAGCTTCATCGCGTTCATTGAGGATGGCGGTGCAGGTGCAATGCAAATGCCAGTTTCATGGAAATCTTTCTCCCTTTCTTTCTTTTTTTCTCTTTTTTGGGAGGGGGGGCACTGCCTTTATATTAGATCAACTGTTCGCCTGTTCCAGCACACACTCTGTGCTCTGAGTTCTTCTATAAATTCACGTGACATCAGTGTTCAAAGAGGGAAAAGTTACAGTATCGTTAAAGGACGCGGTTTACCTGCTTGTTTCTTTTCTCTGATGCTTTATTTGCGTCCAGTGATGGTTAGAAGGCAGTGGAGAGGCTAGAGGATCAAATTAAACGGAGAATGTACAGTATGTGTGAACAGCTGATTGATTCGCTGATTTGCTGATTACTGACACTCATTTTCCAGTTTGAAGCCGAGTTCTTGTTGTTCTCATCTGAAATTTAGTGCATTTTCACCGCGTCCGAACATCTGCCTCGGCGAGCCAGCACCTGAGACGTTGCAGTTTTTCCCACTAGTTTTCCGACAAGCCACGCCCTCTGCGCTGGGATAGGCTAGCAGTTCATGTTGGTGAAACGTAGGGACCGCTAGTGAGTGTGAACTAGTAGCCAATCTCAGCGTAGGAGCCGGAATCCTGCCCCCCAATCAAGTTGCAGGAGGCGAGGCTTGTCGGAAAACGGGTGGGAAAATAATTCCGTTGAAACGAGGCTCTATAATTAAGGCGCTAATGCATATCAATGTTCTCCTAGAATTAAGAAGAACCTACACTGACTGAAATTGGCCAGCTTCTTATTTTTGTTTATCACTGAATAGACTTAAAACAGGCTGTTCTCTTAGTGGCTGTTTTTTGCAGCTTGGTCAAACTCAGATAAGTTGAAAAGAAATGCTAAAACGTCAATGAGTGGCTTATTTTTGTAGCCAAGTGCCTCACCTAGTAATATGCAGTGTATTCTCACAGTATTCTCACAGAAATTCTCTCTCCCTCTGTTACAGCTGTACTAGTCTGTTGATTTCCTACCTGTTGCACACATATTTTTCAGTGCCAGCTTTTTCGTTATATCCAGGTAGCTGAAATTTCACTCAATTTGTTCCTGCTTTTAGTCCACTTCTACTTTAGAGAACCTTCCTTTTAGGTTTGCATGTTTAATTTCAAAACAAAAATCTTTCACCGCACCCTGTGACCCCATTTTCCTAGAAGGCACATTTGTGGACCGGATCTTGCCGTCCTGAATACCCTGGTTTAGCAGTAGACTCAGGACTCATCAGCAAGTTTGGTGTGTTTGGTCTGTGAAATGGATTTAATGGGTTAAAGTTCCTTATTCAGTGTTCATTTAGTTCAGAGCTTGTAATGTTTCTGCAGTTTTTGGTGCTGTTGTGTCTTACAGAGTGGAGTTGTGTACAGCAGAGTTGATTATGTTATTCAGTCATTTGTAAAGACTGGACAGATGAGTATAAATTATGACCAGCAGACTGATGTGTTTGTTTTAAGTTCACTTTTCTAAAAAAGACAGTAAATTTGGCGGTTGGCGGTGGTCTAAGTTCAGTTTGTGCATCCGCATGTATTTCAAGTAAGCGATGTAAGTATGAGGTCATTGCTCAGAATTGATGAACAAACAGTACAGTACGGTGCTGTTCTTGAAAATTTTCCTTCCATTAGTTTACTGCACTCTGTAAGATTCCACTCTGTTTTAAAGTGAAACTGTGTTAGGTTCAGCATTTACATGGCTTCTGTCCATCCATTAACGGGGTGGCGTATAGATTAGATGGGGCTAAATTAGATTTCTGTTTAATTTATCCCAACACAGCGAATGCTTGTGCATTCCTGTCGATTGGTACTTGTTTTCCTTTTTTTATTTTTGGGTAGTTGAGGGGAGGGCAGGGTAATTTTAATTTGTATGATCTTTTTATGATTGTCAGTGCAAACAAACATTTAGATAAAAATGAGAGGAAATATATGAAGAGCTTGGTAAGGCAAAATGATACCCAAAGAAAACAAAACTTTTTTTTTTTTGTTTTACATTGGTTTTATTATAATCAACATTTCATATAAAAATTCAAAAGACACATCTGGGTTCACTGGTCATTTTGAATAGTAAATTAAATGTCAGTTTGCATTGTAGACATCATGACCCCTGGTTCCTATGTAAAAGTCTGAGCTAGTAAGTTTCTCTGTAGTGCACCGTTTGGCATCAAACACCTCTGTAACTTTGTTTTCATCTCAAGAACTAAATTATTGACACATTTTGAAACATTTGAAATATTTAATGTGCCTTATGTATTTATCTTTGAATTACTTTCATGGCTTCTAGAGACTTGAGAGAATCTTACACAGTGAAAGTTTTACTGCCACTGAAGAGGAAGAAGCGAGTGCTGGTCCTCACAGCTGCCTAATCAGCGACTGGTGTAAAGAAAAGAAAAAAAAAGTTCAACCACATGTCTGTAATTTGTCACATTTGATTTATTAGATGCTCACAAATGTGAATATATATATATATATATATATATATGTAAATATATTAAATAAGTATAATATATTATATAATATATATAATATTAAATAAGTATAAATAACAATTGAAGAGTTTACTTCCAAAAAGCTATAAATGCATCTGTAAGAATTTTGGAGTTGTGTTTTTGAAAAAAATCAGCAGCTGATGTATAATGGTAAATGTATTTGTTTTCTAATAAACATAGTCTCACGTTATAGCATTGATTTTTCTTGTGTGGGGAAGCCCACTCTCAGTAACATATACTATGAAAAAGGAACATTCTTGAAAGTAGTGTTTTAGAGCTAAACCCTTCAGTTACACACAGTAGGGGGGAAATGGGCCACTATACTCTAGTATATCCTAGCCAAAACAAATATGTATCATATTCTGGATTTGCATTCCTAATATTCTCTAGAATGCTGTTCCAGAGTTTAGGAACAACTAACTAAGTTATAAGGAGTGTTTCAGCTCAGATTTCTTTTTGAATGTGAAAATACTTTTTGAAAAAGCAAAGATCATTTATATCAGTTTTAAAGGCACATTAAAAACAGTCTGTATAGTTCTAAGGGATAAAGAGAGGTTGGAACATGTTAAAATTTATTACAATTGTTGTTGGTAAATAAACACAGATGTCCTAAGTGGACTAGTCTGAACTAAATATAGTAAATTGTGGGATGTGGGACCTTTATGGAAAAGCCCTGAGGCCACTCTCCTATGGCTGTAGTAAATATTTGGGGCACAACGTAAAAACTTGTTTATATATTATTTAATGCTGGGAACCTGTGTGGTGTATGAATTATGAAACCTGTCTGCCCCTTTTTCCTCTCCTTTTAAGTCAAATGCAGGATATGGCAACCCATACAGATGTAAAGTTGACCATTCATTTTCATATTGAAAGATGGCGGTCTGGCGCGTTGCGGCGAGCACCTGGGCGACAGTTGTGAGGTCATGTGATGTCTGTAAGCGCAGGCTTCATGTGACGTGCGACAGGCAGGGCTCTCTGCCTGCTGCTCTCTCCCGTCCTTCTGTATTAGGAGCAAGACCTCCCCCTGGCTCCTCTGACATCTTTCCAAACCTTTATATAAGCAGGGCAAACCTGACCGATTTCAGCCATGTCAGAAGCCATTGGCTCAGCAAGGCCTGTCTGGTCTGCGTAGAAATGAACTGAATGGACCCTCGTCAGCGCCCTCGCCCTTGTCTGCCTTGACTTTTCAAAATAATCAAGCCAGAATTTAGCTTGTAATTACACAAGCTGTGCTGAGTGGGCTCTGGATTGTGGTTTTTACAGCATCCCTCTGTGGAAGCGTGATGCTAATGTCTGATTGGGATTTTGAGTTACATTAACCGGGGACTCTACAAATGGTTCCTGGTGAAATGACAGAAATTTGTCTGGAGGCTTAGGAAGGGTCAGAATGGTGAAATTATCAGGTATTCAACAGGGACTTGCCAACTGCTTGACAGCTTAATTATCCCTCTGTCGCCTCAGTTTTGTTTAATGTGTCAATTTGGATGAAATTGGGCGAACTGGACTGTCTTTTCAGAGTTGGTTACATTGTGTGACTAATTTGCTGGGAAGCTTGTTTTCCTAAATAAATGACTAATTTTGAAACACTATATATAATATACCATAGCTAAACAGAGCAAATGTGTATGACGCATCATGTCAGATCATGCATTGTCCTCGAAGTTGTGTTCCTGCATAACATTTAGTATTTTCTGTTTCTCAAACTCGTTTGGCCTTGAGTCACCCAAGAGTTAATCAGCAGTTTTCAACAGCAGTAGATAGTTCTGGCAGGGATGGAAATAAACTGAGTGACAGTACTTTCCCACAGTCCTTAAGTATTATTGTATTATACTTGTATTTTTAGTCGATTAAATTTCCAAGAGAAATAAAAACATACTTCTTGCTCCTTACATCTTCATTTAAATCATCAAAGAATTTGTTATTAATCTCAAAGGCCAAGAGATTTTTTTTTGTTTTTCTCTTGCCAGTTAGTTTATTTATTTATTTATTATTAAACATTTATTATATTTATCTAATTTTAAAATGGAACTGCCCACAGTTATGCTTATTTTGCATTATGAGAGGTCTAGTACCATCCACTAGTAGCCATACCACCAAACAAAAAGAGCTTAATTTATTTGTTAAAATATTTCATATTTACTTTTATATACTTGCAGGTGTTTCAGTGTTGACACTTTCAGACTATCAGGTGTAGTTTTGGTTCGACATGTCCACTTTTAATTGGGCAAGATTTTGACACAGTACCTATATTTTCACTTAAAGGGGAATTCCACTAATTTTTCACAATTTCTGCACTCAAAAATATGGTTCTTCAAGGGTTTTTC